GAGACAGCAGCAGCAGCATCCCCTGCCCCTGAGCCCTGCTGCCATGGAGAGCCTGGCGCTGCTGCCAGGTGGCCGGGATGGCCGCGGGGAGCTGCAGGCTGCGATGGACGGGGCGCCCTTCACCTCCACCCATATATCCTTTGGGGGCAGCAGGAGAGGTCTCTGGGCTTGGACATGCTCCCCTTGTCCTCCAGAGCCACAGCTTGGCACAGCCCCTGCTGGTCTCCCCAGGGCCAGGGTCCCTGCTGCTCCACAGAGGGCTAAAAAGGGGTGGGCAGGAAAGGGGTCCTGAGCCATGGAGGGGCACTGCTGCTCCTCAGGGTTGGTTAGATGCTGTAGCGTAGCTGGGGGTAGAAGTCAGGAGCTCCCAAGCCTCCTCTTGGGCCATCCTGGCAGTCCCGTCATCCTATGCCAGGAAAAGGTGTCTCACGGAAATCCCTGCTCCCCTCACTTCCCCTGGCCTGGGAAGTGCTGTAGGGAGTGGCAGCTTCCCCGGGGATGCCAAAGGGAAAAGCCAGTGGCTGCCCAGCCAGGGATGAACCCCGTCCACCCTGCTGCCAGGCCGTGGGGAGGGCTTATCGTGGGCACTAGGCACGTGTGTGCCAGGGCCAGTGCTCAGGGACGCGCCGAGCCCTTTGGGTTGCTGCATGCAGGCTTTCCTTGACCCCGAGGCAGATGCAGGAGGCGCTGACCCCCGGCCACCTGAGGAAGGCCAAGCTGATGTTTTTCTTCACCCGCTACCCCAGCTCTACTCTGCTGAAGACCTACTTCCTCGACGTGCAGGTAAAATGGCAGCACCTGGTGCTGGTGCCAGGCAGGGCTCCCATGCAGTGTGGCAGCCAGCCCGCCTTGCTGGGGAACCGTGGGGAAGAGGATGCTCTCGTGTCCCCCCACCTCACTGGCAGGAGCAGGGGGACAGCACCCACTTCAGCACGGGCTGCCGTGGAGCGGGTGCTCAGGGCCACAGCAGACCTGGGCTGCCAGGTCTTCACTCTCTGCAATCAAGGCGTTGCGACTAAAGCACATCACAAACGTGCGTCTCCACTGCAGGGTGGCTGGGATCCGAATCTCAGGGGGGAGAGGCACCATGGGCACCCCTGTGTCATGGTCCTGGCTGGTGCTTTTGCACCCCTGGGGCAGGACTGGGTTTGGGGCCAGGCCAGCGGTGCGTGGCTGGGCTTGCGGAGGGCTCGTGGGTCGGGAGGGTCCAAGCTGGCGTAACGCCTGTCCTCCGGCCGTCCCCCCGGCAGTTCAGGCGCTGACT